CCCTGAAATTGCATGTCTCTCATGAAACATTACGTAAACATCTAAGAAATATGGGAAAACTCCATAAAGAAAATGTTTGGATGCCTCACGAACTTCCGATGATCATCGTTTCCAACGTGTGAATGTTGCTTCGTCTCTTCTGGCACGTAATGCTCGTGAACCATTTTTGGACATAATTGTCACCGGTGGTGAAAAATGGATTATCTATGCGAATATTAAACACCAAAAACAATGGCCCAGTCCTAAACAAAAACCACTTCCTACCCCAAAACATGGAATCCATCCACAGAAAGTGATGCTTTGCATTTGGTGTGACATCAAAGAAGTAATTCATTTCGAACTCCTCAATCCACAGCGAACTTCCAATGCAGAGATCTACAGTCAGCATTTGGTACGTTTAAATCAACCTCTTCATCAGAAACGCCTTTCACTCGTCAATCGAAAAGGTGTTCTTCTTCTTCACGACAATGCACGTCCACATGTGGCACGTTTGACGCAACAAAAGATTATGGAGTTGCGTTGGGAAGTTCTCCCCCAACCACCATATTCTCCAGATATGGCACCATGAGATTACCGTCTTTTTCGTTTGCTGCAACAACATATTAATGGGAAAACGTGGGCAAATGTGGAAGATGTTAAAGAGGACATCGACATGTTTTTGCTTCACAGCCAAATGATTTCTTTAATCATGACATTAACAACCTGATTGTAAGATGGAAAAGCATCATCGATAAGAATGGAGACTATTTAGTTTAATAAATGTTTTGTTTTGATACATAAGTTGTTCGGGTTTTTTCATCTGAAAAAGCAACATTAATTTCTTGACGACCAAATATTTTGATATATACACAGCGTGGTCACAAGTAAATAGACACCACCATTTCAGAAAAAAATGAAATGTTCAGTCATATTCACATGGATTGATATATTTATAATTTAATTAATATCTAGTAGATCTTCCTTTCGCTTCGTGGAGTTCGTTGATCCTTTGGGGCATCATGAGAA